TCCCTGTACTTTTCTGCAGGTTGCCCTGGAGCTCTACATCTCTGACGAGCAGTCACCAGCCACATCGACCTGATCAGTGTTTGATTGTTGTGTCTTGTTGCTTTTCTTCTTTTGTCTCTCCTCTATCCACTCACCCCAACCAGTCGAGGCAGAAGGCCACCCACCAAGAGCCGGGGTCTGTCGGAGGTTTCTTCCATTAAAGGGAGTTTTTCCTCCCCACTGTCGCCAAGTGCTTGCTCAAGGGGGATTTGTTGGGTTTTCCCTATGTAATAATATTGATAACAGTAAGGTCTAGACCTTACTTTGTAAAGTGTCCTGAGATGACTTGTGTTGTGATTCGGCGCTATACAAATAAAATTTGATTTGATTTATAATGCGAGTGGATGTGGATCCTTTTTTATACTAGTACTTGAAACAAGACTTTGTATTGGAAGTTTTGATACTTTGACTCCTGGGCACTGTGTTTGGTTGTTAACCTAACAAACTCTATCTTATACCAAAGCAGATAAGAATGCTATTTAACCCCTGTTGGTTTTGAACACATCACAGCCAAGTACCCAAAGCTCGACACTTCTGGACTGCTGCTGTTCATAGGGACGGATTTAGCAAAAGTGTTTCAGCCCTAAATCATAGAACCTGTTGAAGTGATGGAAGGACAGCTGTACTCACGTGTCCAGTTTGAGCAGAGCAATGTCAGCTCCAGTGGGCTCCACCACCAGTTTCTCCAGTCTCCTCACCTGTTTGGATGGCTCATTGGCTCGCTCTCTGTAAATGCCCAGTAGCACCATGTAGGCTGAAGGCATCCTGGACCTGTATAAACATACACACTAGTTAACAGTGGCCATGTTATTGCAGGATTTGAGCTTTAGATATGTTCCAGTCATCCCTCTGACCTCTCCAGGCAGTGTTTAGCGGTGAGGACCCATTGTGGGTGGATCAGAGTTCCTCCACAGAAATGGATTCCCGTGCTGGTACAAAGAGAAACATCCCAATTAAATACAGATGAGAAGCTGCATCTTGTTTTCAATGGATACAAAAATGTGGACATTGACAATAAAAGTGAAAAACTGAAGGGAAAATGGTATAATAAAAGAAACAATCTCTGTGTCTGGTGAGGGTGATCCATTTCCACAGCTAAATAAAAGTAGCCTGGAAAATATGATACTGATTGTCTTGACACAGATATTGTATCATTTCAGTCATATTTGGGACAGTTTTCTGTAAGTTCTTAGGGTGTTTCTACCATTAAACAGGCCGGGTGGCTCAGGCGTTTAAATTTCAGTAACAAGTTTAAGTGTCTAGTGATGATTTTTTTCCACCTGTACAAATTCTTTAAGGGAAAGCTGAGTCCTATGGTAGTTTGAATGTAGTTCTTTCAATGACTTCGGTAATTTTGGTGCATAATCCTTATTTGGAGTTTGACATTAACATGCAATATCTGAATACCACTCTACCATTATTAAAACACTGGGTACTGTCAGCCAGAATTAGTGAGTTTTCAGACATTGCTGGTTACTTATTTTTAGAGAAACTTATGTTTACTCCTCTGTGACCCAAACAACATATGGCACAATCTTATTTACTTCACTAAAAAAAGGTATTGTCTTTAAAAAAAAATAATACCACAAACTTTACATTTTGCAAATGTGGTGAAGTTCCTTGGCATATTATTGTAGTACTGTTGTACTCACTTGGTCCGGAGACTGATTTGCCAGGGCCATGAGTAAGGTTTGGACACACAACCTCCAACAATACGACCGAAGCAACGCTTGGGTTTGGTGACTGGTGTCCCACAATCCAGTGCAGCTACTAACACAGTTTAGAAGAGAAAAGAAACATATCACATGATGAAGCTCTTACTCTGGACTTTGTACATTTCATCAAAGTGCACACAAGGTGTAGCCAAACTGCAGCCTGTCAGACTGGTGCTCATGTCGCATGAAAACATGAAAGGTTACTCATTATTCTGTGGATGCTGAGGAGGCAGCCACACTATTGTTATCCTGTTCTTTATTTATTATTCTTATTATACCACATACTATAGTAAAGCATATTTTTCGGGAGAGAGTTGGACCCAATTTTTACCACATACTATAGCAAGGCATATTTTTCAGGACAAGGTCGGACCCCTTTTTTACCATATACTATAGTAAGGCATATATTTTGGGAGGTGGTTGGACCCCATTTTTACGACACTACATAGTAAGGCATGTTTTTTTGGAGAGGATCGTGTTAGGATTGGATTTCAAGAGTTACAGTTGTTTTATTTACTGTTAGTATTATTTTGTTTTTATAATCATAAAGTTTAGTATGACTGTCTGTGTTTCATTAACAGCACCATGTATCAGTATTAACCTGGCTCTTATGCATGCACTATAGTTATAATTTTCAGCTTCGAGTCAACTTATAGTATTTCTCATCTTCTTGGATAATTGTGCAAGAATAGATTGCATAGATAAATGTCATTCTGGAAACTATAAATAAGATACTGTTAATTTATGCTGTAATAACTCTGCATTTAACCAGAAGAAAATAAATCTACTTAAAGCTGATTCCTGTTTCCTGAGTGTTACTTCTTGGGGCCTTCAGACAAAAGAACCGGTAATAGTTAAAAATTGGTGCCGTGACCTGGATCTGAACATTGGCTCCGACAGACGTTCTGGTTGAAGAACCATCGGAGAGGATTGGAGAAGTCTCCAGCCAGACACTTTTGTGGCCACATCAAACAAACAGGTAAGCAGAAAACCTTTTCTATTCCATAGAAAATTTCTGCATATTGGCTAATCTAAATTACGAAGTGTCTGCTTGAAGACGGCATCTGATCTGTCAAATTTAATTCATTATTTTGCTAAATGTAATTCACTATTTGAGTTTTATTAATGTTTTACTGCATTGAATCTGGTTACATGTAGAGTTCACAAGCACATATTTCTCACATGAGGGAAAGTCAATAAGTGTCCTCGTCCTTTGCGTTTCAGCCTCATAAAAGACTTAAAATTCTTGGTGAATGACCTTCTAAGGTTGTCTTCTAAATTGTTAAGTGTGAATAGTATTGTGGAGCATCACTAATCTACTGCCAGTTTATTCGTTTTAAGAATATGCAGTGGGTTACTGACGAAGAGACGTTCATTTAAGGAGCATGCTGTAATTTGCTGACGAGAAATAGCAGCCGAGAAACGCCCTTATAGTGAACATCAGCAGCTGCCGATGTGGGCTGTCTGATGAAGAGACGCTCGCAGTGTGCATTTGGTGTGCCACAGTTTTAATAAAAAGGAGAATCCCCTTCCCTGAGTGAAACCTGAAAATTGATATTATTATGTAAAACAATAGGGACACAGGGATAACTTTGTTATTTTCCATATGTGTGTGGGCCGGCTTCCTACTTGTAGAACTTTTTCAGTGGACATGTAGTGTATCAAACTCTTGAGTTTGAAAATTCCTACATTGAAACCACAATTCACAAGTAGTTCTGTCTCTGGGGCATTGGACTAGCAGCTTGGGGATATAATAGTTAAGGTATTTCTTGTTTGGTGAATTAAAAC